AAAAAAAAACTCGTAAAAACATTTTCTTGTAAGCCCGACTCTTTGTCTCCACCACTGGTCATGAGATAAGTTTTTAATAATACCCTTCTTTTTATGGGTGTATTGGTATTATGTTTTAAAAATATTTTAAAATATTTATTTTTTTATTTTAAATTAATATATTTTTGATATTTTAATATTATTTTAATATATTAATTTTAAAAATAATTTTTTAAAAATAAAAAAATATTATTAATATACTTTTTTGAAATATCATTTAAAAGTTGATTCAATTAATATTGAAATCGAAGCATCAACAGAAAGACAATAAAAAAAAATCACTAAGAAAATCTGAAACCAGCAAAACATTGTAAGAAATGGAGATGGGAGATACCGGGAAAATGTATGCATAATACTCTTCAATTGTGAGCATACTATTCCAAGAAACTAGGCAACCAATTCCAAGCAGCCAACATACTAGCACAGCAGGATCCTTTCCCTGCATAAACTGCACAATTAGCATACCAGCAATTTCTTTAAGAACATAGACAATACCTAGCTGCAAAGTTTCCTCCTAACATCAATGAAACTTCTTCAAGAACATAGACTTTACAAACCTTAAGCTTAGCAGGAGCTACCCTGTCGTCGAGTGTTGCCATAATTGTTTTCTTTCCAATACCTACTGCAAACATATACAACTTAGCACCGCAACAAATTGGACTAAATTGGTGAAGTATCAGAAAAATTACTTAAATAAAACCCGTGGAAATCAACCATCAATGACTAGTTTAAAATATGAATTTTATATAAAATTTCATGATTAAGAAGGTGGGACCTTTTATATTTTCTATATCTATCATTAAAAAAGCGTTATCCCACTAATAAATGAAAAGAAGGAAGACAGCACACGTCGATTTCCGTTGTTTGGAGTGTGGAAAGTTCATAAAATAGCTCAAGTCAAATATCCCATCAATGTTATGATGATCACAATATAGATATTTGGACAGAGATATCTTAATTTTCAAGAATATTTTATACAAACAGCTCACTAGCTTGGAGACCTAGCTTGGGTTAATTGTAAGTGGATTTGTTCACCACGTTAACTTCTAGCTCTCAATCTAAGGAAGGACGTGAACAAGAAACTTCTTGCGATTTTTTTTTCTTTCAAAAACCCAGTTTTCATCTTTTAGACAACTATGGTTCAGGTCCCAGGTTCAAATTCCTCCGATTATGGTCCAGGTTCATGACATTGTCAATCTCCATAGCCACATTCGGTCTGACGGTTTGAATTTAGAGTGCCTTAACAGTATTGGTGGATTGGTGGAAGAAACCATCTATAGTGGCTTTGAAATATTTAAAGGGAACAAGACACAGTTAATTTCAAAACAACAAACTTACAAAATACAAACACCAACTTTTAATACACGTCCTCTTTTTCTTTTTAGTATTTCTCTGATATTTCCTACCCATAATAGCATAAACTTAACTATTTATTTATACATAAATTAAAAATAAAAAAATTCAAATTTTAAATAATGATTAATAATAAATAACTATAGGTGGTAGTGGTTGATAATAAATAATAGTTAGTGATTGATTCAGTTTAGCATGATAAAGAATATACATTGACATTCTTCCTATTAAACCCGAATACCCAATGCAGGTTGGGTAACACCAGATTGCTGAAACGAAAACTACTGGACTGGGTGAACTCAACGGACCGGGTTTATATGACCCACAAAATCATCGGTGAGTATACGGGCTGAGATTTGCGGTGGAGGCCACCCTTACTGATGAAAACCGATTGGTTGCTGGAGGGAAGTTGATCATTGGCATGTATGGCAGGTACAGATAATGTGTGACCGCCATTACCTCGAGGCTAAGGACATACAAGACCATGCAATAGAATAACGTATAAAGAATAGCTTACCAAACACCACAGGATTATCCATTTTTAAACTGTATTGTTATCCTTACATCTCATGAGCTCATATTCACAAAGCATGCCTCTATGACATAGGATGTTTTGGCTCTGTTGCGAAACAAACCAGTTCACAACTTGAATATATGAAATATATGGTGATTCATTTAACAAGTGACTTAAGTCCACCATGGATCATCTCCGGTTCTGAAATCTGTTTCGACCCATGGAACAAAGACCACCTTGCCGTCGTCTACGTCGCAGTGAGCCAATGCCAATGACTGTGCCGAGAAGTAAAATTGAAGTTGGATATTGACAAGTGTGAAATAAAAAATAAAGTAAACTATTACTAATTGTTGATCAAGAACAACTGTTGTCGTTCTTTCATGATCTAAGGTAAATTAACTAATCCGCTGGGAAAATTCTGTTTGACTTACCAGGGGAGCTGGCCCTCGGACAACTCTTCCTTGGTCATTGTACTGGGATCCGTGGCAGGGGCAGATGAACTTCTTCTCGGCCTGGTTCCATGGCACAACACACCCAAGATGTGTGCACACAGCATTAATTCCATATGTTGCAAGAGTTCTATCTTTCTCAACAACAAGGTAGGTTGGGTCTCCCTGAAGTCCACAAAAGAATCCAGATAACTTTCATTATCAGAAGTTGCTTCAGAATATCTAAAGCTTATCTCAAAGGACGTTTGAGCACCAAACAGATTAGCCATTAATGAAAATTGTGTTCAAAAGGCAAGAAAATGATATAGTTTAACAAAATTTTACAGGCCCTTGTAGAAGTGTGAGAACGATGGTTGAATTCCCACAAACATCTCTTTACCATAAATTGCAACTTCTAAAAAAATCTTGCAAGAAAATAAAAGGCATGAATGTTATATTTTCTTTCGAATTAATAAGTGGAAAATATGACTTAAGATTGGAAGGAAAACATGATTGAGGAAAACGTACACCGCCATAAAGATCACTACAAGCAATTGGCACAAAATATAACAAAAATGTTTACAATAACAGTATAAAAATTCATTTTAAATTGTTTCAGAAACATTTATTTTATATTTTTACCTTGTCTCTCCAATTAAATATGTTTATACTAAGACACTAAATAAAAACAATAGTGATAATTTGATAAGAAAACAATAAACCTTGTTGTTCCTTTTCCGTAGTAAATGAACTCTTTTAATAAGATAGGGAAATGAAATGAAAAAACATGTGCTTCGGGAGAAAACAATGAGCTGCCAGTACCTTCAGTCCTTGAGAAAGGGTTCTGTCTCCAGGGGCATGAGTCTTGAGCCATTGCTCTGCAATGATGTCATTTCCAAGGGCATCCTTGGCAACGGTACCGCCACCACCACCTCCTAGTCTGTTAAGATTTTCCAATAACAGCAAGGAAAAGTAATTTGTGTTTAGCAAAGTCCCAATGGAACGATGTATATTATCGTTCCTAATGGCCAGCAATTTAATACCTAAACAAATGAACTACAGCAGTAGTTAATGGCCAATTTAGAACGTGTTAGCGGACAAGATTAATAACAAAGAAGTAATTTATAAACTTAAACGCAACATGGGGAATTGGTTACTCTTTACTTCTTAAGATGATCAATGGAACTAGAATTTTAGGAAGAGTGGCTTTAAAAGGATCAAGTTTTCCATTGAGGAACTTATCAATTATGCTTATACTTTCCATGATAAATTGAACCTATCATTCAAGAAGAAGAGGAGGAGATGGCATTTCTTACCCAGCAGGGACAAAGAAATAAGTATAAGGAATCAACATGCCAGCAGTGGGGAGTGAAAGAGCACCCACAAGAAGCAAATTCATAAGCTGCCTCTTACCCATGTCAGGCACTCTATCATCAGCTGGAATACTTGTAGCCTGACATGCAATTCTCATTCCTCTCTCTTTTGTCACCATACTTGTCCTTGCTGGTTTCACAAACGCTGCATGTGTAGGAGAGAACATGCCACTCTTGCTAGAGCATAGCTAATACACATAACAAACAAGCACATAATTCAATCGAAAAAGTCTTAAGAGAAAGAAATTAAGTTCAAGGATAATCATTATTTGATGGGATTTTTTCCATTTTCTTTTCTTTTTACCTGTGAGGGAGTGGCAGGGGAGAGGGTAGTGGAAGCCATGGATTGACGGTCTTTGGCACAGGAAAGTGAGTGTTCTGGATGATATTGTGAATGGTTCGGTGATGTAAGAATGCGGTTAAAACTATAACGACAACCACTGTACTAGATAAGACACCTAAGCTATTATTGTGCCACACGACCACATGTTTAGAGATATTAGATATTGCTTCTCTTCGAAAACAATTTAGAAAATACCCAATAATCTCTAAACCACATGTTTAGAGATTCATTTTATTCTCACTGTATACAAAATGAAATGCATTGGATTAAAGGGGATTTAGGGCATCCATTCGATGAGTTTTCCTGGTAGAAACAGAAGTCTTCTTGTCTTTCGAACTTCATTATTTCGTAATTTCATCCCAACCAAATTTATTATAAATTAGTGCTTATATTTATTTTAATCCTTTTATTTTATAGGAGATCCATGGGATCTGGATGATATAACAGGGGTACGCAGCTTTCCTCCCATTCTAATTTTCCGCCTCCTTTTTCCGAGATCTAAAACAGAGATGTGCTAGAAGAAAAATGGCTATGAGTCTTTACGCAAGGAGTGCCTCTTGGTGGTTGCTCAAGCGGCAATATTTATCCATTTTCAATCTTGTTCTATTACCCAAATAACTGTAATTAGGTCAGCATATGGGTCTTGGTGACTAAGAACCACGCTCAAATTAATGATAACCGATGTTGAGCGGTGAGAGAGACGAGTGAAGACTTGGGAGATTTATGATTGGCGAGGCTCTACTAAATACTAATCATGCCAAGAGGTTAACAATGGCTTCCGCCAGTAATGGGCTTCGAGTTCTGGACTTCTGTGCAACTACAAGTCTGGACTCTAAACTCGTGTCCTTTTTGATAAACTTAATAAATATAATGATGGCGCTATCCGCATGAGGGCAAGGGCGTGAAACTTGCACTAATCATGCAATTGCATGTGTCTTTCACTCTCTCCCTCCCTCTCTCTCTCTCTCTCTCTCTGCCTTGAAAACCTCTCTCCTTTTCTCACACCTCTCCCTGCCTCTCAATTCGCAATACTATAACAATGTTTCTGCACATTTTCAACATGTATATCAACAATTCGATATGTAAAGAGAAGGTGGAAGAAAAGCAAAAACGAGTGGGAACAAATGAGTCTTTCAATGAGTGAAAAATGGATATGTTTTGAGTTCTTTAGACCTTCTCTTGCATCCTCTCCTTTTCTCACACCTCTCCCTGCCTTTCAATTCGCAATACTATAATAATGTTTCTGCACATTTTCAACATATATATCAACAATTCGATATGTAAAGAGAGGGTGGAAGAAAAGCAAAAAAGAGTGGGAACAAATGAGTCTTTCAATGAGTGAAAAATGGATATGTTTTGAGTTCTTTAGACCTTCTCTTGCATCAATACAGAGAAGAGAGAGAGAGAGAGAGTCCATTGTTTTCGTCAAAGAAGAAGACACCTACCAAGAAAAAGAAAAGGAAAGATGGTAAATGTGTGTAAATAAATAAATGGAAAGGATAGGAGTACGAGAAGGGGCAACCTTGAAGCAATCCAAAAAAAATTAATGGAACGTTCTTCAAAGACATTTCGAAGTTACGAAATACTCCAAGCTGTTTGGCTTCTTCTCGTATCACTAGCTTTTTTTGTCTCCCAGCTTCAATCTATCTCCGTAATTAACTGACATTAATCTTTTCCTACACATATATAGTCATACAAACTTAATTAGAGAATATAATTAATTTATTGCATTCGATATTTTGAAGTTTGAAGATGGAATCCTAAGTAGAATGCTATTAGATTAAAGGGGAGATCATTAATTAAAATCCCAACTATAATTCATTTTATACTAGCTAATCAAACAATTTCTCTGAACCTTTTTTGTTCCTTAATGAAATCCATTTCCAGTTCACAGACCTGTTTTGAAGTCAGAGTATCGAACACCTCATACATACCCTGACTGAGTCTCCCTTTTTGAAGAGGTCTGAGAAGTATGAAACTGCAGTTGCCTTGAT